TGGGCCCCCCCCCCCCCCCCCCCCTTGCCCACCCCGGGGTGTTCTGCGTGTTTGTCCTGCTTTCCACCCGCATACTTTCCACCTGTCCTTTCCTCCTCCCCAGGGCATCATGAATGAGGTGGAGCTGCTGAGGGCGCTGCGGCACAGAAACATAGTCACATACATAGGTGGGCCCAGGGTGTTGGGCTGGCCTGCCTCGCACCCAGCCGTCGGCAGCCTGGGCAGGGTGGCGGCAGTGCCATGCTGCGGGGAGGGCGGGCTGAGGCGGTCGGCGGGCCGGGCGCCTGCCGCTCCTGCCCGCTGGGCTGGATGGGCTGGCGCGAGGGTCTGCCGCAGGCCGCGTGGCCCGCCATCGCCGCCCGAGTGCGGGAACTCCGTCGTCATTGGTTACGGGTGTGTCGTGCCGTGTGGTACCTCAAACACACTGCGCACATGGTACCGCAGGATCCTTCAAGTCCAAGACCCACCTGTACATCATCCTGGAGTACATGGAGAACGGGGCGCTGAGGTGAGGGGTGGGATACCCCCCTGGATACCTCCCGCGCTTTCCTCCCTGTCGTCCCATGCCTCTTGGGCAGCTGGCCCTGCTTTCCGGTGGCCCGTCGGCTTGGTAGCCGGGCCAGGGCGCCCAGCTAGGCAAGGCCTGCCTCTGCGTTGGCACACCCTGCACGCCCCGGCTGGGAGGGAGCCTGCCGGACAGCCAGGCAGCAGCGTGCCCTTTACGCTGCACATCACCCACACAGCCATGCACACCCGCACACACACGCCACGCCTCTGCGCCCCTGCCCCACCCATCTACTACCACTGAGCGGTACCATCACACGTACCGCCGCCCACCTCCCCCGCAGCTCCGTCATCAAGGCCTCCAAGTTTGGGCCTTTCCCCGAGCCGCTGGTGGCGGTCTACACCCAGCAAGTGCTGCAGGTGGGCTGGGGGTAGGGTGGGGCGGGGTGTTGCCGGGCTGGAGGCAGCTTCGAGGCAGCTTGAGCTGGCGGAGGTGCCACGGGGGCAGGCGGTGGGGACAGGTGGGGTCAGGTGGCGCGCAGGTGGGCTGTGGGAAGGTGCTGGGGGTGCTGCCGCAGGCTGCTCTGCCGCTCGCTCACCCTCTGCTCTATTCCGCCTTTCTTCATTTTCTTCCTTTCCTTTCTTTTTCCCCTCCTTTCCTCCAGGGCCTGGCCTACCTGCACGACCAGGGCGTGGTGCACAGAGACATCAAGGCAAGCAGCGGGCTGTGCCTGTTGCTTTCTCGTGTATACAGCCGACATATCCCTCTGCTCTGCTGCCTGCTGGTGCCGCCCGATGAGCCCCCGCGCATGTTTGTTTTGTGCTGGCTGAACAATGGTTGCGGGGCCAGGTGGCGGGCCGTGCTGCACATGCCGTGTTGGGCATGCTGTGCTGAGCATGTTGTACCACACCCTGCGCCCCATGCCGCGCTGCCAGCAGGGCGCCAACATCCTGACCACCAAGGATGGCCTGGTCAAGCTGGCGGACTTTGGGGTGGCGGCCAAGGTGGGCGCGCCCGATGGCTGGCCCGTGCTTTCTTCCTCAGTTGGGACGAGGGATTTGAGAAGTGGGGCCTGCAGGCGGCCTGCCTGTGCTCCCTTCCTGCCGGTGCTTTCTTCCCGTGTTTGGGGCGGCACGCGGGGCAGGGGTGTGCAGAGGGAATGGCGGCAGGTCGGCCCTGCCTGTGCCGGCTTTCCGTGCGGCGGCGGGAGCACTGGGAATTTCGTGCAGCTGCAGACACAGCGTGGCGACGTGGTGTGTGTGCTGCGGCGGCATGAGTGCAGCAGCTGGCTGTGCAGCGGATCGGCAGCTTCCTGACAGCTGCCCACCTACATGAGCATGTACCGCATGTACCGCAGCTGGCTGAGCTGGAGGAGGAGGGGCGGTCGGGACGGGAGGCCTCCCCCGTCGGCACGCCCTACTGGATGGCGCCAGAGGTACTGCTGATGTACCGCCGCTGTACTGCTGATGTAGATGCTGCACTGTGCACTGCGTTTTATCCGCCGGCCTGGCAGCCCCCTCCCCGCCGGCCCGGCAGCGTCCACCCCACCCCATGCCCCAGCCTGCCCGCCCCTCACTTCCCCACTCCTTCCGTTCCTCCTCCTGTCTCTTCCTCCTCAATTTCTTTCGTCCTTTCCTCCACGCTGCCCCCTCCCCTCCTCCCAGGTGGTGGAGCTGAAGAGCGTGACCACCGCCTCCGACATCTGGTCCGTGGGCTGCCTGGCGGTGGAGCTGCTGACAGGTGGGTGGTGTGCATCGTTTGCTGTTGCTTTGTTTTGTGGCGGGGTGCGGTCGGGTTGGGTTGCCTTGCGGTGGGGCTGCTGGCAGGTGGGAGTTGCTCGGCGCTAGCGCTGCGCTGCTTTGTGCTGCTGGGCACTGCCGGGCTGCCTCTCGCGCTCGCCCGTCCTGGCTCACGCCGCCCCCGCCGCACGCCCACTCCATCCTGGCCGCCTACATACCCGCGTATCTACCTGTATACACCCCTACAACCACCTCTCTCCCTCCCTCCCCCCACCCTGCCCCCCACCTGCCCCCCGCAGGCTCTCCGCCCTACTACGACCTCCAGCCCATGTCTGCGCTGTACAACATCGTTCAGGTGGGAGGGAGGTGGTTCTGCATTGGTACTGTGGAGCAGCGGTGGGGGTGGTGCTGCGGTGCAAGGATGGGGCAGTGCTGCGGTGAGCGTGGCGGGGCGGCGGCGGTACTGTGGTCCAAGGGCAGGGGCGGCGCTGTGGCGGACGTTCACGGTGGTGGCGGCGTGCTGCAACCTGCCGCCCGGGTTTGCGTGAGCAAGTGCCAGGCTGTACTCAGTACAGGCTATACCAGGCCCTTACACACAAGCTTGCCCCTGCCTGCCCGCCCGCCGCAGGACCCGCACCCGCCGCTGCCCCCCGACATCTCCACCGGCATGCGGGACTTCCTGCTGCAGTGCTTCCGCAAGGTGGGGTGGCTGGTGTGTGGATGGGTACCCACCGGTGGGTGTGGTGTGTCAGGGTGGGCGAGGGGCATGGTCGTGTGTGTGTGCGTGTGTGGTGGGAGGGCTGCCGCACACACACGCGCACGCGCGCACACACACACCGGCACCAACACACGCCCAGACACGTCCCCACACACTCACCTCCCTCCCGCCCTGCCTGCCCCACCCTGCACCCGCAGGAGCCGGCGGCGCGCCCCACCGCCCGCGCCCTGCTGCTGCACCCCTGGATCACCTACAATCGCCGCACCCTGAAGAGCTCTTGGTCCCGCACGCGCGGAATCAAGGCGCGGGCGGCGGCGAGCGGCGGCGGCGGCGGCGGCGGCGCGGGGGGCAGCGGCGGGGGGCCGCTGGCGGGTGGGTGGCAGCGTCTGCACCCGCCGTCGTGCCGTCCTTCTTTGGCTGCCGCTGCGTGTTTCGGTGTCGTTGCTCTTGTGATTTGGCTGCCCCGGCATGATGCCTTGGCTGCGCTGCGGAACGTCAAGACTGGCTGCCAGCTGGCTGGCGGCTGCGTAGCTGCCGACCAGCTGCCACCCGGCTGCCACCCAAGCCCCTGCACGCTGGCTCCCCATAATCCTGCAGAGGGCTACACCAACGTCAGTACCGTGGTGGAGCGCATCCTGCAGAACGGCGCCAGCGACGGGGAGTCCGGTACCGTGGCGCCGCCCTCCACCGCCTCCAGCCTGGCAGGCGGCGGCGGCAGCGGCGGTACCAGCGGCAGCGGCGGCCTGATGAGCGGCGGGCTGAGCAGCGGGCTGGGGGCTCTGAGCGGGCTGGGCGTGGGCGCGGCGGCGGCGGCGGCCGCTGCAGCGCCAGCAGATGCAGCGGCGCCGCCAGCGTCGGTACCGGAGGATTCCCTGGCAGCCTTCGAGCAGCAGCACGCCGCCACCGCTGGCCCGGGGGCCAGCCCCAGCGCCGCCGCCGGCTCCCCAGCCCACCGGAGCAGCTTCAGCGTCCCCGCAGCCCTGGTTGGCGGCAGTATCGGCAGCGGTACCGGCGGCGGCAGGCTGCCAAGACCACCTGCCTTTGGGTCGGTCGTCAGCGTGGCGTCCTCTGAAGGGCCACGCGGCGGCACCCTGGCAGGGCAGGCGGCGGCGGCGGCAGGAGCGGCGGGCGCCGCCGCTGCCGAGGAGGCCGGTGGCGGCGGGCCGGCAGCAGCAGCGGCGGCAGGAGGAGCGTCAGGAGCGCCGGCGGGGCCCTCCCCAGGGGGCCCGCGCCACCGCCGGCTGTGGAGCGGTGCGGTGGCGGGGCCGCCGCCACGGGGCGGTACCGTGGGCCCCGACTGGGGGCTCCTCCGCCCGCCACCGCAGCAGCAGCAGGCGCCGCAGCAGCCGGCGCTGCCGCAGGGGCAGGGGTGGGGAGACCCCGAGCAGCAGCAGGCGCAGCAGGCACAGCAGCAGGAGCAGCAGCAGCAGCAGCAGCAGCCTGCGCTGCCCTCGGTTGCAGAGGAGGCGGCGGTTGCGGCGGTGGAGGCTTCAGCCCACAGCCGGCAGGAGGCGGCCGAGGCGAGCGGGGCTGCTGCTGTGGTCTGCCTGCCTGCCTGCACGGGCCTGCTTGCCTCCCTGCCGCTGCTGCTGCTGTGCTTTCCTGCATCCCTGCCTGCTGCCGCTGTGGCGGCCTGCTCCCGACGCCCAGGGGTCTCCCATCTGTGCGGCCGCCTTTGCCGCCCCCACCACCCCGCCATGTCCCCCCTGCCATCCCTGTGTGCTGCCTGCCGCCAGCCGCGCCGCCGACGCGTGAGCCGCCCTCCGTTACGCCCCTCACACACACACTCTCACACCACCACATACACGCGCGCCACCACCACATTCCCAGCCCCGCCACCACACATGCACACACACACACTCACACCACCACACACGGTACCACCCACCCCACCCCCCTGCGGTACCGCAGGTACGGCGCCAGGTGGCGGGCATGCGCATCCTGTCCTCCGCCCCGGGCGAGCGCAGCCTGCAGGCGGAGGCGGCGGCGGCGGCCTCCTGCCGCGCCCTGCTGGCGCCGCTGGCACGCGACGGGCAGGTGGATGGGTGTAGGGGTGCTGGGAGGCGGGGTGTGTGTTTGCCCGGGAGGGAGCGTGCCACGCCATGCCTGCCCACTCAGCGCCGCCCACCTGTGCACAACATATCACAGCATCGCACATTTGCAGCGCAGCGCGCACGGCAGCTCCAACCGCTGGCCTTTACACGCGGCGTACCGCCCCCCCGCCCGCCCGCAGCTTCGCGGCGCCTTCCTGGCGGCCGACGGCGCCTCGGCGCTGCGGGAGCTGCTGGACAACCCCACCGACAGGGTGTGTGCTGTGTGTGTGCTGTGTGTGGGTGGGTGGGTGGG